GAGAAGGGATTGCGGCATGACCATCCCCCCTGGGGGGTGATTTCTCGCTTTCTGTCTCTATGTCTCTCTCTGTCTATCTGGCAAGCGCACGCGCCCTATAGCAAAAACCTTTCCAAAAAAAAAAAAAATTGAAAATGATACAAAAAAACTGGATGGGCATTCCATGTTCTTAGATTGGAAGAATTAACATAATCAAAATGTCAATTTTACCCGAATTATAAATTTAATACAATCCCAATCAAATTACTAGAGACATTCTTCACAGAATTAGAAAAAGCAATCATAGAAGTCTGGAATCATAAAAGCAATACTGTCCAAATCAAAACCACAATGAGATACCTTCTGGCCCCAGTCAGAATGGCTATGTTTAAAAAAATAAAGAATGATAAGCGCTGACAAGGCTGAGGTGAGAAGGGAACTCTCCTACACTGTTGGTGGGATTGTAAAATAGTACAACCACTATGGAGAACAGTATGGAGATTCCCCAAAAACCTATAAATAGAACTATTATACAATCTAGTAATTCTACTCCTGGCATCTACCCAAAGGATAGGAATACACTCAGTTGGAAAAGTACTTTCACATCCAAGTTTACTGCAGCATTATTCACAACTGCTAAACCATGGAATCAACCCAAAAGTCCCAGAACAGATGAATGAATTGAAAAAAGTGTTGCACATATATACTACATAATACTACTCAGCCATAAAGAACAATGAGACCTTGAGGCATCTGATAGAAAGTGAACAAATATGGAAGATTTACTGCTAAGCAAAACAAGCCAGACTATGAAAGAGGCACATTTTATGTCCCCACTCAATATATACCGAATGTCTGCACTCTATGGCAGAAATTAAAGATTGGAAGGTATAAAGGCATGGAGAGCAACTGTAGATAGCAGAGATAGTGCAGGAGGAGGATTCACAAGGGGTAGGTGGGAGGGAGGAGATCAAGGGAGTAAAGAAAAAGAAGAAGCAAAATCATTTAACAAACAAAAATGGGAAATTATCTGGTGATGATAATATATATGGCAATATCTTTGACTTGCCTAATATACAACACATTCATGCTGGTAAAAATCCATTTTGTATGGTGTAAAGATGTATGGTGATTGCATATAAAAAAATAAGAAAAGAAAAAGGAAAAGAATAATTAAAAAATAAAAAGAGATTATTGCAGCAATATTTGTTTTAAGAAGAAATATGCCAATCCTAAAGGTATCAGTTTACCCTCAGAACATTATATTGATTCTTACATCATTATCCTGATAGAGAAAGCCTCTATGTTAAGGCAAAACTCACCCAAATTGGAACACAATCATTAAGAAACTACATACAATATATTGCTCACCATTACTAATTTCCCCTTTACAGAAAGAATATCATAACTAACATAAAAACTATGAGGTAATGGGAAGTTAACATCCAAGAAAACATTAACCACATTTTCAATTAGGAGGGTTCCTTCTCACTGTACTTTCTTTAGTAAAAATTAGAGCAGTTCATATTTCACATGTTCTAACACCAATATAAACAATAATGGCAAAATCTAGGTATTCTTTGAAGTATCATACATAAACTACTTCTTTGTTATTCTGAAAATAAATATATATCCAAAATTAGTGAATCTCTTTGAATAATTGTGTCTCTTGAGGATGTAACATGATCAAGAAGCCATCATATATGTTATGTTTTATCATATATGTAATAGTCATGAGCATACATGAACTGAACAAAAAGAAATACATTTTTTTTCTTTTTTTGGAGAGGTTTTTTGCTACAGGGCATGTGCACTTGCCAGACAGACAGAGAGAGACAGAGAGACAGAAAGCGAGAAATCACCCCCCAGGGGGGATGGCCACACCACAATCCCTTCTCCTCCATTCTCCTCTCAGGATCTTGGGCACGCACGCACACGCGCCTGGCATGAGTTTAAGCCACTGGGTCCGGGACTCGAACCGCGGTCGACTACATGGGAGTCCAGCGACATAGCCATTACGCTAACTGCTGGTCCCAAAGAAATACTTTTTTGAGAAACAAGACTTTAAATGACCTGTAAGCCAGCTCTAAACATTTTCAGTACTATGACTTACAGTTTAGTCTCTATACCTGGACTCCTGAATATACTATTGGATTCTCACTGAGTTGCTTTGCAGGAATCTGAGAATGCTGGCCAGATAAGAAAATACATTTCACTGGAGATTTCTGAGATGATTTAAAAACCCTCCTGTAAAACAAACAAACAAAAACCAGAGTTTTCTAGAAGTATATTGTGAAGATAACATCTGCTAGGAGAAATGTATCTTAGAGACATCTTTTGACTAGTAAGGCTCTGTGCCATTTGAAAGTAAAAGGAAAATGAGATCTGGAAGCTCAAACTATTAGAGATATTTTGATAACTAGTATTTTGGTATGCTGGGCCTGGTTCAACTCCTATTAACTAGCAAGAGACTATTGTGCACCTCTCTGCAGAACAGCGTGAAACCCTACACCACAGAATTTAGTATGTTCTACAAATCAAGCCTCTCTCTCCACTCCCAAACACACAATAGTTGTTAAAAATTTACTAATATTTGTGGAGGATTCCTTAAGGACTTTAGCTTTAGAGTTTTCTATGTAATAAAAGTGCCATGGTTTACAGTTTGTTTTATTCAGTAACTTTTTCAGTAACATTTATGTTTCGACCTGACCAAGATGGTGAATCAAATCACATCAGGAACTCTGTGTAGTTTTGGTTGCTACCCTCAGGAAATGGTACAGGATAGAGAGCTTCCTCATGGGGACAACCCACTTCATGAAAAACAGGCATGAAACGCAGGGAGAAGCCTCCCAGCTGGAATCAAGACAGCACACAAAAAGAGGATCCTGGTTCATGAAGGTAGGGAAATGTAGGAAAAGTGAAAGCAATTTAATAATTCAGCAACAGTTGATAACCTTGTGGAAATTTTTAGCCTGAGTTGAATCAAAGGAAATTAAAAGGATTTAAATAAATTAAGAAGTTGACAGAGATACAAAGGAAGAAGATACTTCAAAACATATTCCCTATCTCCAAGGAGAACATTTAGAATATTTAGAATTTGAAACAGTTTCTCTTTAGAAAACTATGCTTCTTTTGCCCAACAAAATAGGACAGAGCTCTTAGGCACACAGGAATTGCTATAGTTTATATATAGAAATGTAGTTTACCCTTTCCTGGAACATAAAATTAAGAAACATCATAATTAAATGCAGCTTTTATATCCCTTATAAATGATGATAATCTAACACTTCTTTATAAATGATAACACATGATTTTGTCCAAAATCAGTAATCAACCACAAAAACTTGGCTAGCCTAGGCAAAATTTTAAGGCTTAAGAATATTAGGTCAGGTTTTCAATACCATTATTCCAGCTCAAATGCCCACACAAATCTATGTTTCTAGGGAAAATGATTAATATGTGCTTGAGGACATTTAATCTATTACACAAATCATCTCTAGTGTATAAAGTTAGGTACCACGTAGCTCTGTAAAATAGCTTTATCTGTATCCTGGCATATATTATCCATGAAGGAGAACTTTCTGTTCCCATTAAAATCTGATCGATAAGGTATACTAGCTTTGAATGAAAGCAGGGTAGGAAAATAACCTAAATATCCATGAGTTATCTTTCTAAAGTCTTAGCCTAGAGACAGCAGGACACAGGAGCTGTTGACTCCAGCTAACTTTATGTGTGGCAAAGAAGGAGCAAAGTGAGGCCAAATAGCCAAAATGTGTATGCAGGTTGCTAAAAGCCAGCATTTCAAAGCAATTAGTGCTCTGGCCCAGAGTAGTTTCTCTTGGCCCAATAATCAATGACACATAGTCTAAAAGGGTGGCAACAAGGAAAAGGAGTACCTCCAAGTCTCCTTCTGTTAGCAAACAACAAGATTATTTTCTTCATTCTCCAGCTCCATCTACCAAGTGGTTCCCAATCACAACTGCACATTGGAATACCTTGGGAAACTTTAGAAAATAATGATGCCTGGGCCCCAGCCCCAAAGATTCAGATGGAATTGTTCTGAGGTCTGGCTTGGGACATTAGAGTTTTTTAAAAAGAGCTACAGTTAAGAGTCATTGATTTGAAGGAATTAAGAGACTATGTAATGCTTCTCAAAGCTTACTTTAGCAGGTCTGGAAAGTAGCCTAAGAGTCTTCATATTTGTAAAAAAAAAAATTTAAATTAAGGTTTTTGCCATAGGACACTTATACTCACTGAAAAGAAATAGTGAGAGGGAAAGTGAGAAAGTACCCCCCAGAGGGCATGGTCATGCCACAATCCCTTCTTCTCCATTTTCTTCCTGGAATTTTAGGCATACTCACACATGCACCCAGGAGATTTTCAAGCCACCAGGTCCAGGACTTCAACCACATTTATCCATCTGGGAGTCCAGAGCCTTAACAACCATGCAACTGCTGGTTCAGATTCTTCATTCTTACAGGCTCCCAAGTAATGCTGATGCTGATGTGGTCTGCAACCAGAAATTGATCAAAAGGATTCTAGATCAGTGGAAAAAGATCAGGTTCCTGAAGTTGTATTAGCAAATACTTGGAAAATTGTGCAGAAATGCAAATTGTCAGGTTCAACCCCATACCTACTGGATTAGAACCCAGGGGTAAGGAAGAGCAGCAACAGGCCCTTAAACAAGCCCTCCATGTGACTTATATAATATGAACTATAGTTTGAAACCACTGGACAGTCTTTTTATTCAAATATGGCTATCAGGCCAGCAGCAGCAACACCAAGGAGCTGGTAAGATTAATGTAGGACTGGGACCAGAAGATTGCATAATGGTTACATCGCTGGACTTCCATATGGCCTACTGCTGTTCGAGTCCCAGACCTGGAGGCTTGAAACTCATGCTGGGCGCATGTGTGTGCGTGCCCAAAATCCTGAGAGGAGAATGGAGGAGAAAGGATTGTGGCATGGCCAATCCTCCTGGGGGGCGATTTCTCACTTTCTGTGTCTCTTACAAGCACACACACATCCTATAGCAAAATCTCTCTCAAAATAAATAAATAAATAAATAAATAAATAAATAAAGATTAATATAGAATTTTAGCTCCCATTCCAAATTTACTGAATCAGAATCTACATTTTAATGACATCTCAGTGATTTCTATGTATATTAAAATATGAGAAGCACTTTAGTTTCTACAAATTTCCTCCTCAAAACCCTTGCACAACTGATTGATGATAAAATAGTCATTTGAAAAGAAGGGGAAAATCTATTATTGTGATGATATCTGGCAAGTCTCTTTTTAATTAAAAAAAATTAGAGTGAGAAAATTTAAAATATTCAAGAGCCTAGTCAAGCAACTGGAAACAACATGTGATTCCACCATATGGAGAAAACTATTGAGAACTGTTGATTCTTCCATGTAAAGAACAGATTCTAAGGAGAAAATAAAAACAAATTATTGAAAGAGACAGAAGAGACAATTTTATCCCACTCAAACAGAACTTTGGCAATGTCTTAATTGAAACTTATACCCAGAAGATTTAACCAAACGTGGCCAAAATATGAGTCCTTTGTTTAGGGTAATGTTGGTGACAGAAGGACATAGCATGTCATCTGGTTCCTATGGTCATCTTGGGAATAAAACCTCTGCCATGATTCAGAATGTTGAAACCAAGCTATTTTGTTCAGCTTCTGAGTTAGAAGGTCAGAACTCACAAACTTAAAAAATACCAGACACTAATGAAAAACAGGGAAGCCTCACTTACGTTACCAGCAGTGAATAAATTCCCAGAAAGTTGAAACACTGATGTGTTCTAGTGACCTTTAAATATATAATGAGTAAATAGTTTGGAAAAAGCAATTCACATGGATCTCAAAATGCATTTTCTTTCAATCTGTAACACATCAACATATTTTCTGTCAGAGAGATCGGATGGTTAACATTTTAACAAACATGGCTGCTTAGAACGTCTGTGGCCAGAGCTATCAAATCAGAAGCAAGCAAACAAAACAACAACAAAAACCCAGAGCTTTCATGTAAAAAAACAAGGGCTCCTGGCTCCTTTGTACCAAGCCATACGAATGAAAACTAAGAATTTAAACGTTTTTTTTACTTTTACATAGTGTTTTGTTTTGTTTTGCTTTGTTTTTGTTTTGTTTTTAGAAGACCAATAAGATAGTCAGCAGTCACTTCCATTTTCTAAATGACTCCAAACTCCATCAAGACCCTTCCATTTCCTGGATGAAGATATTTTGCATCTAATCCCAACATAAGAATGAAACTACATGAGCTGTCTGTCAACATTGGGATAAGAAGCCAGAGCAAGAAGTTGTGTTATTTCTACACAAAGAGGAAGATGAACTGGACACAGTGGTAAGGAATAGAGTAGTTAAGAACTGAAAGAAAGAGAATTTGAAAGAGGGAGCTAGAACAAGGATTATAGCAGAAAAGGTATGTCACAGCCAATACCTCTCAAAAAGGCACCAAGTAAAAGGAGATAGCAAAACAGTGCTGAAAAAAAGAGGTCAACTGTTGGGTATATCAGAATCCATGAAATTAATAAATTAGCTTATAATCAGTATAAATAAAAGTATACATGTGGTTATTTGATTGTTAATAACACAATACAAAGTTAAACAATGTTGAATCATTTTTCTCCAAATTTGGACAATATGCAGGACTCTCAAAAAATTTCAGCGAAAAAATGTTTTATGAAAAAAATTATACATGATTTTCAAAAACAAAGAAAACTTAAATTTCATTTTCCACAAAATTTTTGAAGTTCTTTCATAGTTTTTGAGGCTCTAATTGAGCCTATGTGTCATGTATACTACTGCTGAAAACCAAAACTGAGGCAGTACCACAGGCTTGGTGACAACCAGCCAGGAGAGAAGTGATGTTAATATAAAATGCTATGGGGAAAGAAAACATAATTTCAGTATTAACTTCCACTTGAAAATCCAAAGGACAGGTTTTGACATTCTACTGCTAGTTGCCATCCAGAGAAGTGTAAAGCTAGTTGCAGATTTGTTTGTTTGGGTAATACGGAGGCACACTAATAAAAACTTAAGAATAGTCTGAAGTAGATTTTACAAGTGAAACAGAAATATACTAGAGCTGGTTTCATAGTAGAGAATTTTTTTTAGAGAGATTTTTGCTATATGGCGTGTGCACTCACTAGAGACAGAGAGACAGAAAGCAAGAAACACCCCCCAGGGAGGATGGCCACACTGCAATCCCTTCTTCTCCATTCTTTTCTCGGGATTTTAGGCACGCACACACACACACACAAGCCTGGCGTGAGTTTCAAGCCACAGATCTGAGAACCGAACCACATTTGACTGCTAGGAATCTAGAGACGTAACCATTGTGCCATCTGCTGGTCCCAGAATAGAGAAAATTTTACCAAGTTCCTTCTATAATTGGCAATACAGAACTGTTATTACAACATTACCTTATCTACTTTTGTTTCTTTTTGTCACATTTCACATATGATTAAGTAACTTCAGCATGCACTTAGCAATTTTGCATATTAATATGTAAAACTATGTCAAATTATTCAAGATCTAAAAGAAATTTTATAAAGGATGTATCACAGCACTGTTTTGCTGATTTTGAATATCCCATAAAAGGGACCAGCAGTTAGTGTAATGGTTATGTTGCTGGACTCCCTTGTAGTAGACTGTGGTTCGAGTCCCGGACCTGGTGGCTTAAACTCACGCCGGTTGGGTGTGTATGCATGCCCAAGATCCTGAGAGAAGAATGGAGGAGAAGGGATTGCAGCGTGGCTATCCACCCTGGGGGGGGCGGGGGGGGGG